ACGTAACGTAACGTACGGTTACGTCGTTAAACGTAAAGTTAACGTAACTAAGTTACGTTTACGTACTACTACTATTATTATATATATATATATATATATATATATATATATATATATATATAGTATACATATATACATATATATCGCTTGTGCGCGGACATATCTCTGTATGCCCATATCTGTTACCTATATCACATCCCGTTTACATCACTCCCCTTCTTTATACCGACTCTGCTTTCCTTTTCCCTCAGTGGCTTTCTCCGTATCTCCGTCGGTATATAATCCCCGGCCTTTTATCGGTCTATCGCTATATATACCCCCTGCTGAGCTGGCGCCCTTCATATCATGGAATTACGAAGCATCCTTCGCGCATGTAGCGTATTGCATCCGCACAATTAAGACCTTATTTAATTATGTTCGAGCAGATTTACTTGGCATAAAACCTATTAGGCAATTTGCCGAGGCAAAGATTACAGCTATTGTATTAGCGTTCCACGGGCACCATCGCCACCGCGTGACTAACAACACGAGTTGTGTGCGTTTACGAGCAACGCTACATAAAGGAAAAGCAAATTTAATAACTTTTGAATGCCCGCGAATCGCTCGTTTATGATCTTCCCGCTTCATTCCGCGCGCGATGGGCATCGATCAATCCCCGTACATACATGCGGAAAGATTTCCGGTCAGCGCGCCTCGGTCAGATTGAAAAATCAGAAGCAGCGCGGCGGCTGCGATAAAGATGGGATTGCTCGACGTGTTTAGGAGATGCGCAGCGTGAGTGGCAGTATAGCGCGCGGTAACGATCCAAGCGATGGCGGCCGTGACGCCTATACCCTGCTCCACCGCGCCCCCTTTTCTACTACAGAGCGTCGTCGGTCGGCGTGGTCACGTCAGGTACTCAGTGCGAGTGAGCTGCTATTTCTCTTATATTTATTGCAGGTGAGAAACCGCACAAGTGCTTGGAATGCGGCAAGGCGTTCAGTCAATCGTCCAATCTGATCACGCACAGCCGAAAGCACACGGGCTTCAAGCCGTTCGCCTGCGCCATCTGCGGCCGCGCCTTCCAGCGCAAGGTCGACCTGCGTCGCCACAGCGAGACGCAGCACGCGGCGGGCATTGACGGCGTCGCACTGAGCGGCGCGCCGACGCACAGCGTCAACGTCAGCGTCAACGTCAACGTCAACCCGGCGATCACGCACCGGCCGTACGCGGACGTCGTCGGCGAGCCGCCGGAGAAGACGTCGCTGTTCAGTCCGCCGCCGTCGCTCACCCGTCAGCCGGGGCCACCGAAGGCGTTTATGTCGCCCGTCGTGCAGCAGTCGCTGTTCCCGAGTCCGCAACGACTCGCAGATCCGTTCTACATGCGTCGCACCGAGCCGAGCATGATGCTGGCCGAGCACAAGGCGCTACGACCCGCCGAAATCGCGCTGGAACGGCGCGCCTTCGGCCGACCTTTCCCGGAGGAGCGACCGCCACAGATGGCGCCACCATCGCACGCCGACTACGAGCAAATGGCGCCCGAGACGCGAGGTTCGCCCACCGACGAGATGAGAAGGCGAACGCCGTGCGGCGTACCGTCGCCGCGAGCAGAAGCGAGACAATGCGGCCTCCATAGCGCGTAGTCTCGATCACTCGCGACAGGTTGGCGTTTACCGAGTTTGACCTTTAACGGTTTTCTACAAGATACTCAATCTAAAGACACTGTATCGGACGCGTGTATCATAGGTGTTGCGCTGAGAGTCTGACGATGATGCAGTGAGAAAAAATTTTAAAGACGCGTTCGACGTTATGTATTATTTTTATTCCTATAGCCGTGAGTTAGCTGCCGAATATTCACTCCCCGCGCGGTTACGGCATTAATTACTCCCGTTACGTTCTTGGCGGAAATATCTTAATGCATGTGTGCAGATCTCTTCAATACTTCGCCAGCTCTAACACTAAATGCGAACGAATTGACTTCGTTGCAAACGTACTACGTTTAATATAAATGTGATTTATGAGTTACGTGGCCTGCTAAGGTATCTGGCCTAATTTCGCTTCTCGTGTTGTGTCAGCATAATGTCACCCTGCAGATATCTATATCGCTGATATTCAGTATGAGCACTGCATAGGAGAGTTGACGAATGTTTTAAGGCAGGTCCACGAATGTTGTATTATTCCATACCTACCGCGAACATTAAATAGAACGCCTCGTTAGCATGGACAAGTTTAACTGTGGATGGTCCTAGTCGGAAACACCGTTGGGTCAAGGGCTAAATAGACAGATGTACAAAATTATATCTCCTGCTTAAATACAATAATAGAAAACTGTTAATGTCGCGTGTGGGTGGTGAGAGTTAACAGGTTACAATTTTCGGTAAATATAATGCTCTTGGGCAGATTACTTTACCTTTGCCCTTTAAGTATATAAATAGTGTGTATGTATATAATTATATATAGGTTTGCGCGTGCGTGTGTGTGTGCGTGTGTGTGTGTGTGTGCGTGTGTGTGTAATGTTGTGACATCACGATTATGAGATATTATCTACATACACAATATTACGTGAGTTATGAAATTAGGACATAAGTAATGTGCAAAGTTATTGATCTTAAAATATTGTTACTTTAATTTATTTGGTATGAAGTTTGCTGTGAGTTTGACTTTTATGATTAAAGTTTTTAAAACTGAAAATACCTACGTTTGTTTATCGACTTGATTGCCTTAATGAATTAATTGCTTTTAATGATTCCGATCACGGTTCTTTACATGCCTTCTACATTTCACGTTGTTTTCTACACTGCAGTCAGCGTTAATCAAATATCGCCTTATTTTTATTCCCAACGATGGCGAAAACTCACTATCTATCACACGCACACACACACACAAGCCAAACTAAATTACAACTAATACTTATCAACGCGCTTCCTTCACGCATACATAATCTTCTACGTGATATTTTACTTTACAGCATCCAGGTTTTCGCGGATATTCACTTGCAAATTACATCGGAGACGTAACACACACCCTTTGATTTTCTATATGACGGCCCGCGCGCATTTTTGGTATACTCAATAAGCAAATAATAAAGACGAGACGATGTAAACTGGCATTAATTTGCAATAAGCTCGTAATAACCGCTCCAAGCGCGGAAGCATCTCGTCGATTTCCCTCCAGGCGTTGACAGAAGCCATAAAAGTAAATTAAACGGCACCCAAGCAGTCATAAAAAGCACAAATTATTGTTTATATTTCGTGCTCTTATCTTTAAAGGCGCTAAATCACATTTATCACTTGACGATCGCGAACGCGCGCGAAATTGGCGAGGAATTCTCGCTGCTTATAGCCGCACACAATTAAGATTGCCCGCTATATTATCATGCATTTTTAAGAGTTTCGCTGTCAGTGTTATCCGCTGCTGGCGAACCGAGGCACGGCGATGTCGCGCTGTGGCGATAACTGAATTCTATCGGCCGTAATCGCTGGGTGGGGAAAACACGTAGACAGGCGCGACTAGCACCCGTGCAGCATCCGCCACTCGTTACCATCGTATGTAGCCCAGGCAGCGTTTAAGCGCAGGCGAGGTTTTTGCTGCAAGAAATCTAGCGCCCGCTCGATGTTCGGGTGAGAACACACGCACGTACGCACGCACGCACGCACGCACGGACGCACGTACGCACCAACGCACGCACGGACGCACGTACGCACCAACGCACGCACGCACACACGCATCAACGCACGCACGCACGCACGCACGCACGCACGCACGCACCAACGCACGCACACACGCATCAACGTACGCACGCACACGGATGATATCTTTGCTAGTTAAACGACGTATAGTGAACGTGAATCGCGCGCACACGTGTGCGTGTGTGCGTGCATGCTTACGTGCGTGTGCTTGTGTGTGTGCGCGCGCGTGTGTGTGCGTGCGTGCGTGCGTACGTGCGTGTGTGTATGTGCGTGTGTGTATGTGCTCGTGTGTTCATACGTGCGTGCGTGCGTGTGTGCGTGTGCGTGCGTGTGCGTGTGCGTGTTTGAACGTTTCTGCGTGCGTGCGTGTGTGCGTGTGTGTGCGCGTGTGCGTGCGTGTGTATTACACTCGTTGGGCCGAATAATATTAACATATCCTTGCACTACAACGAGCCGGATTGCTTGATACGGTCGATGCAACATGAATGCAGTTGCGATAAATAAGCAAGCGCATAGCAGTTGGTAGAGCGTTGTGCACACGTATCGCGTGATACATAAAGATTTGTCAGACACGCATAAGTGATAATTCAGAATCAGCACCTGAAGGGCACGCATACGAGGTTTCATGTGAAAATCCACCCCTCTGAAATCGCCACTCATCACGTATATTGACAGCAATGACAGTTGTGGATGATATATAGAATGACATACATACATACATACATACATACATACATACATACATACATACATACATACATACATACATACATACATACATACATACATACATACATGCATACATACATACATACATACATACATACATACATACATACATACATACATACATACATACA